CTCCCTCTCTCCCTTTCTCCCTCCCTCTTTCCTCTCTCTTCCTCCGTTCATCCCTCCCTCCCTCCTTCCTTTCCTCCCTTCCACCCTCCCTTCTTCTCTTCCTCCTTTCTTCCCTCTCTAGTACCTTGTCTATCTTCAGTTTGGCTACCACCCGTTCAAGACTATCTGTAACCACTTTTGGATGCAAAGAAATGGCCTTAGAGGAGTCAAGCACCCGGTAAACCCTGATGATGTCTAGTATTTTATAGTCTCTGTGAACAGCCTTCCATCTGGGGGCTTAGAGAAGCAGCAATTCAGGTCTTGTCTTTGATGGGTTTCCAGGTCATGGGAGGCAAGATTTGTGCTTGGAAATTGAGGAGAAAACTCAAGACAGAAAAAAATAAATGTTTCGATTATGCACCAGTCAAGGAGAGATTTGAAGGGGGAGGAAGGCCTTGTTGAGCTTGGGTTAACTGGGAGGGCTTTCTAAAAGAGGGATCAGAGATATGTGTGTACTTTACAGCCTGCACTTCATTTACTAAAAACCACATTAAATTCTTTTCTGGAAGTCAAATATGGTCAACTTTCTGCAATTTCACATGGATCAAGCTAAAATCCTTACCCTTTGCTATGAGAGAATTAAGGCTCAGAGAGGCTTCATGACTTTCCAGAAAGAAAACAGTAGCACCTCCAGTCAAGGGCTCCACAGGTCAGGCCCTTCTCTACTACCCACCTGCCTTGCATGGTGAAAGGGAAGGAGCTAGGAGCCGGTGCAGAAGGAAGGAGCAGTTCTGAGTCTGATCTGGCAGGGGAAAGGTGAGAAGAATGAGGAGGGAATGGAGCTTTGCTGTCCCTGTGAGTGTCCTATACTCTCCCCATTGTTGCACCTGGTCTCCTGCCCTCTCCAGCACCACCAACAAGGTCTGGATGGGGGCTGCTCTGGTGTCTATGATGTACACTATCTAAGGCTTGTGGACAAGCCCTCAGGAGCCAGCTAGGGAGACTGGGGAACTAGGCACCTCCAGGAGACAGATGGGCTCCCTGCAGGGCAGCAGGGGACCTGAGCATCCCTGGAATGCAAACACAGCACAAAGCAGGGTCTAAGAGAGGAGGGGGAGGAGGTGGGCTTCCTCTCCTGGGTACTGGTGAAATTCAGCAGGCCTAATGGGGATAGAGTGAAAATATAGCTGATTATATATATCAACCTTAGACCTTATTTGGTTGAGACCTCAACAAGCAGAGCAGAATGGGAAATTCTGCGAGTGTATGTGCTTGTCAACTGAGAGCATTGTTCTTGCTTGGAGAAGCAGCTCCGGGGTAGGGCAATGGCTTTTACACTCTGAAATGTCACAGTTTGGACCAGTCCTGCATGAAATGAAGTTGGGGGGGGGAGGAGAGAGAACAGTGTAGGTGTCCTTTCTTAGATGGCTGTCTTTATTCTAAGATTATATCCTTCCCACATTTTCTGTGTTAAAATGCCCTTTCATGAAATCATGGTGCTAGGAGATGGTATTTTTTATGTCCTTGGCTAAATAAAAACTTGGCATAAGGTTCTGTGTTTATTCCCAAAAATCATTTTTGAAATGTTACTGGGCTGTGAATTCCAGAAGTCTGGGAACCCCTTCTATAAACAATAAAGCACCAGACAGGAAAACAAAAGCTGTGGAGTGATATCACTCTCTGTTATTTACTGTCTCCGTTTGCCTCAATCTTCCGCATGTGTAAGATGGGTTTAATGATGTTACACCTTGCAAAGACTAAATGAGATAATGAATACCCCAGAGTGGTGTCTCATCTGTAGCAAGTTCTCAACAAGCATCAGTAGACTAAATAAATTAATGAACCCCACATTAGCCAACTGAGGGGAAGATGTTTGACATTTGAGATCTGATTTAGGTTGTTGTTGTTGAGTACCATCAAGTCAGAACTGACTCTGCAGCATGTTTTCAGACATGGTTAATTGCATGGGAGATTACCCATCCTTCTTCCATGAGATCTGAGCCCTGCACATCAGGGTTGCAGTGCCGGTTCTTACCACTAGGCCACCAGACCTCCCTGATCTGGGTTATACATTTAACAATTATTGTTGGGATGAAAGGGATGTTGTTATTGACTGGACTATGTCAATCCAAAATATATATTCTGATTTCTGACCTCTATGATAGATCATCTGATTCAAAATGGCAATACCAGTCCCTTTTTGACTCAGCAGGAGTGGCATCCACTTCCTAAACAACACGCTATGAACTTTGTAAGTGTTGATAGTTATAGAAAGGCTTCAGGCCTTTTATATATAGGGTTGCTATGAATCATGCTCAACTTGACCGCAATCAACAACAACAATGCCTAAGATTAGGGAGCTTACTAGAACTTGCTTTGGGCACATTTCAGTAGGAACTAGTCTTTAGAGAGAGAGATGCAGGGAAAAGTAGAGGGTCATTGAAGGAGAAGAACAACCTCAATGAGATGAACTGATACAATGAACTTGAATATGATACAGATAGTGAGGATAGTGCAGGACAGGACAAGGTTCAGATCTGTTGTTTGTAGCATTGCTGTAAGTTGTAGTTGCCTTGAGAGCACTGAACAACATAATAATGCCTAGGACATCTATCTTTAAGAATTCCACTCCATTTTTGATAGCATGTAATTTTCCTAGGTTCATACTTCATACATTCCACTTTATGATCTTTTGTTAACCAAAAAGTTGGCTTTTTTTTCAGCCATTACAGTTAGCCCTCTCTGGTCTCTAGCTACTTTAACTTCAGACACATGGTCTTGCAGACCATCAGTAGTAGTTGTGGGACTAGATAAGAGAAAGAGTGCTTTCCACACTAGGCAGCAAGACTTGAGGTTAGCAAGACTTGTAGTTGGCAAGATCCTGGTGAAAGCCAGACCCAGGTAGTAAGTACGATCCTAGTGATGGTGATGAAGAGACTGTGGCATTGC